ATTACTAACAAGTCTATGAATGTTTTCTCTGAAAAATTGTCAACAAAGGTCAAGTTGCAAATGAATTTGTAAGTAAAATTATGAATAAACCTATGAATCGACTCTTCAACATGCTTAGCGAAACGGATTTGTCTTTGCCCAAGACTAGCCATGACCATGTTTCCTCCCCAAACTGTTCATCTAGTACCAAGTGCACCACTGCCCCCACTGCCCCGCCTCTTGGATACCGTCGCCAACCTGTCTCATTTTAGCTTCTCATCGTCTAGAAGAGGATATGCCGGCAGTGGAAACTCCGAATCATCATTGTTCGTATCATCAAAGAATCTCTTAGCCACCCAAGGCATCGCAACAACTCTGGACATCGTCGACACAACCGTTCCTAGCAACCACCTCTGCCATGCCGTGACCGGATGCGCGACTCCTGGGAAGAACCACGGAACGCTCTGAGTCTCCTCGACGTAGGGGCGAAACGCAGCCTCGTAAGCTTCGAATGCCCTGGAAGGATGCTCTCCGGGTGTGAGTTTGGTGAGCTCGCCAGCAAGCATGTAACCTCCGATGATGGCCAGTGTAGTTCCCATGCCCGAGAGGGGCGTCGGTGCAAAGGCCGCATCTCCCAGGCAGATGACACGGGAGCTGGACCACTTCTTCATCTTGATCTGCTTCAGGTCCTGGAAGTAGTAATCTTCCGCCTGCGCCATGGCGTCCATGATCCGGGGCGTCTGCCACCCGGCGTCTAGGAACTCCCGCCTCACGAGCTCCATTTGGAGCTTCTTATCGCCTCGTGCGGCCTCCTGCCACGCCGTCTTCTGCGCGCCGTCGCAGGGCATGTGCGTGAACATGGCCCGTATGGTGCCGTGCGGGTCGGGCCTAGTGGTGATGATCCTCGATCCCAGGGCCTGGTAGATATTCCACCAGTCGTTGTCCTCGGGGAGGCGAGGAATAGCGGCGTAGGCTACGTACATGTTCTTGTCGATGACGGTGATGCTTTCCTGGGGAAAGACTTGCTTTCGTACCTTTGACCACTGGCCATCTGCTGCGACCAACAAGTCGTACTCTTGTACTTCTCCGTTGCTCAGCTCGACTTTGACATTGGCGTCGTCGTTGGATATGACTTTGCTGGCGGTAGTGCCGAAGAGGTACTTGATGTTGGGATGGGTCTTCGTGGCTTCGTACAACACTGCAGCCAAGTCCCCTCGAAGGATCTCAAATTCCGAGGTAGGGCTTGCGGAAGAGCCCTGCTTGACAGGAAAGGGAGCAAACGGCCGCCCCTGCGGATCGATGAATTGTGTTCCTTTTTCTGTTGTGTTGAAGCGTCGAAGTTGATCAATGAGGCCCATCGTCTTCAAGACGGTGATAGCGCTGTGGTTGACGTCGACGTTATGGCCGTAGGTAGGAATCGACTTGCACTTCTCAACGACTGTGACACGCGCACCGGTCCTGGCCAGAAACCAAGCCAGCGTTGGACCGGCGATGCCTGCTCCGCTGATAAGGACACGCATGATGTTGTGAGAACCAACAATCGACTTGACTTAGTTGGCTTAATGAATACAGCGAGATGCTTTGATACCTCTGGAATCTCTGGTTTGGCGAACGCTTCTTTTAAGTACTCTGACGTTTGCTAGCCCAGATTCGTCCTAATGTGTCTGAGTTTCGAGGTGGCTGCGCCTAGCGATACATCATATTTGGGAGAAAGTGAACATCGTCCTGGAAAGAGAGAATTCTGGCGCCTCAAACACAGTAAGACGTGCTCTCAGAGACGTTCATGTGTTCTGCATACCGAGTTCTCAGTCGGGTGAATCAAGCATTTGCCAAGACGTATCCCCCCGAGGGAGCTTCCGCGTGTACATGACGCTAGGTTTGGCGCCTCAATCCTGATGCAAGCTGTGCCGTGCTAACCGCGGCGGCACTATCCGCATTGAGCATATTCGCGTCATCGTCTGGAGCGCCATGCATACCTACTTGAAAGACATCGGCTAGCAGCACAGGGCTGACTTGAGTGATCAAGTAAGTTCAATCGGCTGGACTACGGGTCGATTCCCCGGAATGACCCCGAAGTGGGGGTCCTCTTCGGATTGCGGCCTTCGGGAGATCTGCTCGATTCCGCACCGGAGACAGGCCGGCGCGGCTTTGCGAGGTGGTGGTGAAGTCCTTCCTCCATAACAATCGGCGATTCATCTTAACGTCATACTTTGAGATATATGATACGTAGGAGAAGCGAAATTTAACTATAATCGAAGCTACAGTTGCCATTATCCGCACACAAATATGTGAAGCAATCCTCCCCGTTGTGGAACTTCCATTCATAGGTACACATAGCAGAATGGACCTGCAACGGTGCTCATGGCGTCCCAAATCTTGAGGGACTCCCCAGCCCAGCCATACTGGAGCACATCATCCATGGTTGTGTTGGCACTGGGGGGTTGATCCAGGAATGTGTTGGTTCCGCTGAGAGCAGTGGCGCCATATTGACGCTCCTGCGGTGAAAGCATCTGCCACATCCACCATACTCGATCAATCATCGAATGGTGGAGATAGAAAACAGGATCTCCTGGGGAAGTAAAAACGTCTACTCATTACAGTCAGAAGTTAGCACCGTTCAGCCTGCTGGAATTTCGTGTGTCTGACCTCTTCCGGGATCTCCTCCAAGGGAGTAATGACCACCACCGTGGATGCCTATTAAGAAAGTCATGTCAGCATTTTTCCTGCCTGCATCGAATGTCTATCGAAATTTCTCAAGCTTACCAATGTTACCAGAGCCTGGCACACCCTGCATCTGCATCTGGAAGTCGTACACGTTCTGAGGCTGGAGAATGTTGGACAGCACAGCAGTCACGTTGGCGTACAAGAGGTTGACCTCAGTTGTCAAATCGCGTTTGAGACAGCGGGGGTTATATGTCAAGGGCCCGTTAGGATTAGCCTCGGAGATACCTCCGGGCAGGTCAAGGGCAGCGGGGCCAAGGTTGACTGTCATATTCTTGAAGGGCCCAGAGTTTACGCAGCCTCCGCCTGTACCGACTGGAAGTTCGATGATCGGCAGACCATTTTGGCCACCGAGACGGATGGGCTCTCGCCCTGGGACAAAATCACCATTTCCAGACATGGAGGTCTCGCTCCCGTCGAAGATTGGAGAGGTCTCCAAGCCTGTGATCGCGGTCTTGGACCAGTCCCAGTACTATTGTATTAGGTTAGTAAGGATACTGACGTAACCATGAGTTGAGGTACTCACGGGTTGAGTGCCCTTGTAGCCACACTCGTTGCGCAGAGCCTCCTCATACTGCCATGTGAAATATCGATGCCAGGATAGGAAGTTACCCTGCTACGGTCAGTTATCTTAACAATATAGTCTTATCTCATAATACGGACAGTGTAGTGTATGGTGAGAGTTTGGTTGATGTGGGTTGCGACAAAGTCATCGAACCTAGTCTTAGCCCCAGAAGACTGTGAAGCGGGTGTGCGAGCCGGCCTGGACTGAAGACACTTGACGGCATTGATGTAGTCAAGCTTCTCAGATTTGCTCAGCGTGCCCCTAAGAAATCGTAATGTAAGCAGAACGAACTACAGGGACAATGCTTTGACGATGGAAGGCAAGACCATACCACTCTCTCCGGACACGAACATCATGCCAAGAGCATGCGCTGCTGCGCTTTGTAGTTTCACTGCCCTCGACCTCCGACTTTGTCTTGTCAAAGGCAGTCTGGGCCAAGCTCGCAAGCTGTTGGAGCCTTTCGGTAGTTGCAAGATCTATGTCGGACTCTGCTGAGCGGGAAACTGGACTAGCCAAACCGAGCGCGCTGGCTTGCAGGGCAATAAGGCTCAGATCCAAAAGGCGCATACTGAAAATTGGCGATCGATGCGATCAAGGAACTTAACAAGTAAATTGGCAAGATTCCTGCCTGGCTATACAGTAGAGAGAGGAGAAAGGAAAGTGCATTGAGACGCGGACACCCGTAAAGATATGTGCGAGTCCGACATGACTGCCCACGATGAATTTGCTAATGCAGCCAAGGGTCAGAAGGGAACCCCGGGGCCGAGTCTACGGGCCATTGGTGACATTGCTTCCATTTTGACATGCAGTGGTGGGCTTTTTCGCCCTAGATATGCAATGAAATAAGCAGTAATGCAGGCATGTAGCATTGCCACAGCACTTAGTGCCCAGCGAATATCTTCGGCAACGAACCGCTGGGATATCACAGATACGGCCAGCCCTACCCCACAGGGGTCCGGGGTCCGGACCCCAGATATGTTTGTGTAATTTTAGCATGGGAGCATGTCAACAACTAGTCAGTCGGTGTGCTTCGCTACGAAGCATTTTATCCGGTTCGAGGCATGTAGCCGTGGGCCGGAGTTGCTCGTTTCGTCGAGGATATCGAGAAAGAGGACAGATTGGTCGAGCCAACGACAAAACCCGACCTTGAAGTAAGTATGTACCCCGTTATGCTATTTGAACATCTAAAAGATGATGTGATGTACGGATTTCATGTGACGTAACTTAACATTCACTTGAGTAGTTACTTACACAAGACAGCTACAGACAATGGCATCAGGCATGGGGCTTTTGAGATCACAAAGTATGTCCGTATGACAAGTAGACTTCAGCTGTTGAATGGAATGATATATTTGCCAACGCTGAAACCAGGGTGATGCCATGAAGGAGCAGATTGATCCCAAAAGCTGTTCATTGATGAAGTTGAGTCGGAAATTGGTGTTGCAATAGCACGACTATAGCTTATGGTTCACAATTTCCCAAAATTGTAGTCTTTTGTAGCTGGCTTCCAATAGCACACGTATATAGATTGTTGTAAATTGTTGTAAACTGGTATTTTGAAGTCCAGTCGCGTTCGAGACCACTTTTGGGTAGAGTTCAATGCATTGGATCCATAATAATGAAGGAGCAATTTGCGTTTAGTGTCCAATATAGCGAGTTTTCTTAGCTATACTGGCGACAATAAATGACATTATTATCCACGAATCCCCTCTACCCAAACCCATCACAAGAGACCTTAGGCTTGAGCGTTAGGGGTTCCTAAGGGAACGCCCAGTGCCTTGTAAATTTCAGCAACGTAGGCATACACAGCCTCGTTGCCTGCAGAACCAAGCGACATCTTGTTCATCGCATAGGCAATGGTGATCCGACGATCAAGATCATTGATGAGCATCGATCCACCCCAGCCACCCCAGAAGCAGATCTTCCCTTCCGGGAACCAGGAGTCCACCGGCGTGTTGCCATTGCCTCTGAGACCCATGCCGATTCCGTAGCGAACGGGGAATCCCATGCACAGATCGGGACCGTACGTCTGCTCGTTGTAGATAAGGTCGATCGTCTTCTGAGACAAGAGTCTCTTGCTCTCATCACCAATCGTAAGGTACTTGGACCAAATCATCGCCAAAGCCTTGCTGTTGCCGTGGCCGTTTGCTGCGGCAATCTCAGCCTTCTTCCACGGCTCAGTGTTTGCGAAGCTAGGATCCGGGAACGGATGGAGCATCTTGTGCTTCAGAGAGTCGGGGTCCTCGTCTTGTTCAGGCATAATGTGGGCTGGAGGGGCCGGCGGGGGAATCAGCTCTGCGACGCGAGGCCAATCTTTCTCCTTTGCTCCGATTTGCATATCGGCACCAAGGGGCCCTGCGATCCTTTGAGAGACGAACTCCGTGAGAGTCAGTCCCGTCTTTCGGCGCACCAGCTCTCCGATCAAGTAGCCGTAGGTCCAGGCGTGATATCCAGACTTCGTTCCGGGCTCCCAGCGGGCCGGCTGCTTTTCGAGCCTGGAAATGACCTCCTCATATGAGTCGGACATCTCTTGGAGGGTAATGGGGTCTTCGAACGCCGCCACACCCGAGCTGTGGGACAGAAGATGGCGGACCTCGACATTCTCCTTGCCGTTGGCTGCGAACTCGGGCCAGTATTTTGAGACTTTGTCATAGGGCGAAATCTCGCCCTCGTTGATGAGAATGAGGCCTGCGAGCGCGCAAATGGTTTTTGTTGTGGAGAAAACGTTGACGATGGTGTCCTCCTTCCAGGGGCGGGTGCGATTGGCGTCAGCGTAACCTCCCCACAAGTTGACAACGTCCTCGCCGTCGATGGTGACAGTGAGACATGCACCGAGCTCGACTCCAGATCCCAAGAGTTCACTGAACTTATCGCGAACGCCCTGGAACTTGGCCTCGCATGTTCCGTGTGTCTCGGCCATTCTCGTATTATGATATTACTGATTTCGATGTTGATAAGTAGGGTGCGTCGGGTATCGTCAAGAAAGTCCGAAAAGTCAAGTGAACTAGTTTGAGAGTGTGCGATCTAAAGAGGCGCATGAGCGAGAACGGACTTATATATATATATACATATATAAGGAACATTACTCATGGCCACATTGCGGAGTTGGTTGCCGTTGCCCTTGATAGAAACCTCATGAGTGATCGACAAGTCGTCGCGAACTGCGGAGGATCCTGCGGGAACGTGGAGCGGACTTGTTGAGCGTTCGGTCTCCCACTTGCCCCTCCTTAGCGACGTTTCATTCCGTACGGGCCCGTGGATGATGGTTGGCGAATTCCCTTTTGGACCGTGGGGATCGGAAGACGGACCATGCTCAATTGATGTTCTGCGTCCGGTCCTACTCCAACGACTGTGACGAGTGTATCCATGTCAACCAACTAAGTCCATGTTAGGCATTACGGCCGATGCAACACCCTCTGAAGAATCCGTCCAGAATTTGGTGAGGGCCGAGGTCTATACGAAAGTTCCTTTGGCATTGTCCAACAAGCACAGGACTGCAGGCCTGAGGGGGGTTTCTTGGTCATGTTTCTCAGGTACAGGCTGTCAATTGAACCCTTGTGCTCAACAATCAGCTTCTCAGTAAGGCAACATTTTGGTTGTGTAGCGACTGAACAGTACCCTAGTTGGTAAGTATAAATTAGGAGTTGACAACAGTTGCCATATCGGTTTAACTTGGTGCACTCTCACACAACAATCAGTCAGTCTAGGTACCTAGTAAGTGATGTGGGGTGATGGGCTTCTGCAACATCAGCTTCCATGTGTTCTCTTTTGGCCCCGACTTGATAGAGGAGCGAAATTAAATAGTGAGAGAGCAGTGCTGGAGTAGATGGTATCATGAGGCCCACTTAGACCTTCGCTGTTCCAAGCCTTTTTAACACCCTATCTCATGAGTACGGATGTATCGAACCCAATAAGTTCGATGTAAAGAGTCTGTGTCGATTGCCCGTTACCCATCAATTCTGGGGTGTGCCAGATGATAGTTAAGAACATAGCTCAAGTTGGCAGGCCCCTGGCTTGGCTGGATTTTATGCACTTAAACCAGTAACAAGCGATTCAATCCCGGCATACACAGTGGACAGCAGTTCGCCGATCACTCCTGTCAATCAGGGGACCATCGCCGGGGAGACGATTGAAGCTGCGGGGGTCACACCCTGATACTTCTTGGTCATACAGAGAAAGTCTATCCCAGACTTGGAGTGCGATCGAAGATTTCTTGTGATTCACATAACCGTGACAGTAGGTCTTGAAGGAAGGGCCAGCAGGCGAACACCGTGTATTTGAAACACCTATTCCGATGCACCGGAACTCAAGACGGGATGATTCTGGGCGTCGTATTGAGAGGCTGTTTGTTTAGCGAACGATAGTGGTCAGACTTTCCCGAACACGGGCCCCTGAACCCACCGGAAACTTGGCACCTCGAAACCTCCCCTCTATTAGACGCATATTCTCAACTGGAAAGTCTTCGTAGAGAGGCGGAGTGTCGCTTAAGAGATTGGAAGATAGCTTGATTGGGAATGCACATGAAAACACCACTTGTCTGACAAGGCGACGCAAGTCGATCAACGAACTGTGGTTGGAAGGTTTGTAAATGTCCAATTGGCTGAAAGTTTCCGCATAGTTTGGATCGCAGTTTCGCGTTTCATAGCGTCAAAATTTCCATAGGAAAATTTCCAGAGGTCCGGAAGAGCTAAAGAAGAGTTGCAATTACCGAGCTGCTAAGCGCCGGGGCCTATCTCTTGTCTTTTCACGGATGATATATCCAGGAGTCCATCACCCCGTTTCGCCGAATATCTCGCCGACCGGATACAAGCAAAAAGAGAGGATACCCGTTGCATCTTAGTGGTGGCTTTTTCCTTTATCCTAGCCGTTTGCCCCTTTTACCACGTGGTTCCTCGTTTTCTCGTGTTTCTTATCAACCCACGCAGCGAAGGTTGTATGGCGAACATCAATTGCTAGAAACCCGGGGTGTCTGTCTTGCTGTTGGGTCTGATTATTTTCTCTCTTTCTGATAGCGAACCCAGGTTCGTTGTGTATATTTTTTGAGCCGTCATATTTGTATACCCTCCCTCATTAGCGCAGCAACCATGAGCTCTGGCCTGGTCCCGCGGGACGGGACGCGCGACGAGCAAGACCCCATGCTAGGCGTCAGATCGTCGTCGGAGACTGACGTGGAGGATCGCCTGCTTCCCGACTCAGCCGACTACAGCGAGAAGGGCCACTACCGACGCTATGCGGGCCACAAGAAGACGTTTCGATGGATCATGGTACTCACTTGCGTGTCTATCCTGACACTCATTCCTTTCATTTTCGCCCAATTCTTCAATGTACAGACCAAGGACCGGCCGGCCGAACCGGCCCACGATGAGGATAATCATGAAGAAAGCCCCCCGCCGCCGCCGCCGCCACCACCACCACCACCGGCGGACCCAGTGCCGGAACTCACGACGACGATAACGCCAACAACGACTTCGTCTCTTGTCCCTACGCAAACACCGCAAGTGAATTTGACGCCTGATCAGCAGTTTAATCTGCAGACAGGATTCCAGGTGTCGAATGCGACGTCGATGCGGGAGTATGTGTTCAACATCACGCGGCAGCAGCACTCGCCCGATGGCTTTGAGAAGTCAATGATCCTCGTCAACGGACAATCTCCCGGCCCTCTCATTGAGGCAAACACGGGAGACACCATCCGTGTCACGGTGCACAACCAGATGTTGAAGGAGAGTACCACGATTCACTGGCACGGCATTGACCAGAGAAAGTCGGTCTGGATGGACGGTGTCTTTGGCGTCAGCCAGTGTGCCATTCCTGCCGGCGAGAGCTTCACTTACGAATTCAATGTCACCGACCAGCGGGGCACGTTCTGGTGGCACGCTCATGTTTCAGTCCAAGTCACTGACGGACTCTTTGGGCCATTGGTAAGGTTTCTCTCATACTACTTCATGAGACATCGCTGGTGAAGCCTTGGCCTGTGAGCGCTTGACGATACTAACATGCTCTTCTACAATGTAGATCATCCACGATCCGGATGAAAAGATACCCCCTGTGGATGATGACAAGATTGTGATGGTCGGAGATCTCTTTCATGAGTATGGAGGCACTGTGAGTTGACTCGGCCTCTATCACTCTCATTCGGTTCTCACAGGTTTCTAGCTCCTCACCCAGTACCTAAGCGCCAATCCACCTTGGGCCCCTAAGAAGCCCGGTAGAGAGCCTCCTCCTGACAATGTCATCATCAATGGCAAGAACACATTCAACTGCTCCAGCATTGAAGGCCATGATTCAAACAAGGCCAAGTCAGGCGAGGACCATAGCGGCCACAACATGGTGAACATGGGAAGCCATAACACCCCGAGAGATGGTGCGCCTCCCCCCAAGTGCACATGGGGTTCCCTCTTCAATACACGGGTCAAGAGTGGCTCAACAGCTCGTTTGCGTCTCATCAACCACGGCACATCGACCCCCATCTTTGTTACGATTGACGACCACCCTCTGCAAATCGTCGAGATTGACGGCGTCGAGGTCGCTCCAATCGCCACATCCCGTGTGTATATGAATCCCGGTCAACGCTACTCCGTCCTCGTCCACGCCAACCAGACTGCCGGAAACTACCTGATTCGTGCCGACGCCGCGGTGCGGTGCTTCCACATGTCCCACAAGAACCATAAGGCGGGCATGATGCACGGCACACCTTTTGGGGCCACCGCCATCCTATCGTATGACGAGACGGATCTTGGCGTCCCGCCGATTGGCAAGGCGTGGGATCTTAACGCCAACTCGAACCCCGGCGTAGGCAAGGAGCCATGGGGAGACAGGTGCGAGGATTTGCCACACAACCTTCCAAAGCCTGTCAGAAGCAGGCCGGCCTACGACGTTGGCGACAGGAATTACCATTATTTCACGTTCAAGCAGGAGCGCGTCAACGATGTCGTTCGTACACACATCAATGATGTGAGTTGAAAGAACCTCTTGGCTGTTCTGCTGAATAATACCCTGCTGACAGTGATTAGACTCTGTATACACCTTTGACCGACGATGCCTCGCTATGGAAGGTCATGCAGCAGGACATCACACCAGAGAACCTGAACTCGCCGCAGCCGAAACTAGACTTCGGAAAGGATCAGTTCGTCTTGGTGTCCCGAGACGATAAAGCTGCCCAAATCGTAGTCAACTCAGACGCTATGATGGTTCATCCTTGGCATTTGCAGTAAGTTGCTTCACGACCATCCACTCTGAACCTATGACTGACCGTTTATTTAGTGGTACTTACTTACAAACTTCCCTCTACTCTCCGCCAACGTGCTAATCTATAGACAGGCCAGAACTTCCAAGTCATTGGTTGGGGCAATGGCCTTTTCGGAGCCAGCAAGACTACATGGAACTTTGACAACCCAATGCGCCGTGACACGATCACAATCCCAGGATACTCACACCTGGTAATCCGCATAACAGCAGACAATCCGGGTGTTTGGGCGTTCCATTGCCATTATCTGTGGCACGCTGAAGGTCGGTCATCCACTTACTTTCCCATAGCTCAAAATATGAACTAACATTGCCGCAGCTGGTATGTTCGTTTCCATCGCTCAGCGAATGGGCGAGCTCGCGGGCATGCTGGGCACATTGGACGCCAACGGTGATGCCGGTGCCATCAAGAAGAAATTCTGCCCCATGGCCAAGGCACAATCTGGTGCTCCTCTCGCACAGCCCGTTAAGACTGGGGCGCCTAAACCGCCTCGGACCCTTTGATGTATGTAAATTAGATTGGTTGTGACAAGAGCTGTTGATAGAAGTAAATACTTGAGTACACATTTAGACACTGGATGTACTGAACCCGATACACTTGTGCAGCTACTGAGGTTTTGAAAGGCTATCGTCCAGCGTAACGATGATTTTACCAATTCAAGATAGCTTCATTAAATG